GGATGGGTTTGGGGTGTTTTTGCGTGCGTGTGTGAGTGTGTTTTGTGTAGGTGGGTGGGTGTGGGGTGTTTTTTGCGTGCTTGTGAGTGTGTTTGTGTGTAGTGGGTGGGTGTGGGGTGTTTTTGCGTGCGTGTGAGTGTGTTGTGTGTAGGTGGTGGGTGTGGGGTGTTTTTGCGTGCGTGTGAGTGTGTTTGTGTGTAGGTGGGTGGGTGTGGGGTGTTTTTGCGTGCGTGTGAGTGTGTTTGTGTGTAGGTGGGTGGGTGTGGGGTGTTTTTGCGTGCGTGTGTGTGTGTGTAGGTGGGTGGTGTGGGGTGTTTTTTGCGTGCGTGTGAGTGTGTTTGCGTGTAGGTGTTGGGTGTGGGTTTTTTTGCGTGCGTGTGAGTGTGTTTGTGTGTAGGTGGGTGGGTTGGGGTGTTTTGCGTGCGTGTGAGTGTTCGCGTGTGTAGGTGGGTGGGTGTGGGGTGTTTTGCGTGCGTGTGAGTGTGTTTGTGTGCAGGTGGTGGGTGTGGGGTGTTTTTGCGTGCGTGTTCGTGTGTTTGTGTGGGTGTTTTTGCGTGTGTGTTCGTGTGTTCGTGTGTAGGTGGTGGGTGTGGGGTGTTTTTGCGTGCGTGTGAGTGTGTTTGGTGGGTGGTGGGTGTTTGGGTGTTTTGCGTGCGTGTGTGTGTTTGTGTGGTGGGTAGGTGTGGGGTGTTTTTCGTGCGTGTGTTGTGTGTGTGTGGGTGGTGTGGGTGTTTTTTGCGTGCTTGTGAGTGTGTTTTGTGTGTAGGTGGGTGGTGGTGTGGGGTGTTTTTTGCGTGCGTGTGAGTGTGTTTGTGTAGGTGGATGGGTGTGGGTGTTTTTTTGCGTGCGTTGGGTTTGTGCGTGTAGGTGGATGGGTGTGGGGTGTTTTTGCGTGCGTGTGAGTGTGTTTGCGTGTAGGTGGTGGTTTGGGTGTTTTTGCGTGCGTGTGAGTGTGTTTGCGTGTAGGGGGGGGGGTGTGGGGTTTTTGCGTGCGTGTGTGTGGTGTGTTTGTGTAGGTGGGTGGTGTGGGGGTGTTTTTGCGTGCGTGTGAGTGTGTTTGTGTGTAGTGCGTGCGTGTGAGTGTGTTGTGTGTAGGTGGGTGGTGTGGGGTGTTTTTGCGTGCGGTGTGAGTGTTTTGTGTGTAGGTGGGTGGGTGTGGGTGTTTTGCGTGCGTGAGAGTGTGTTTGTGTGTAGGTGGATGGGTGTGGGGTTTTTGCGTGCGTGAGAGTGTTTGTGTAGGTGGATGGGTGTGGGGTGTTTTTGCGTGCGTGTGAGTGTGTTTGTGTGTAGGTGGATGGGTGTGGGTTGCCTTTTGCGTGCGTGAGAGTGTGTTTTGTAGGTCGGTGGGTGTGGAGTGTTTTTGCTGTGCGTGTGAGTGTGTTTGTGTGTAGGTGGGGGGTGGGGTGTTTTTGCGTGCGTGTGAGAGTGTGTTTGTGTGTAGGTGGATGGGTGTGGGGTGTTTTTGCGTGCTTGAGAGTGTGTTTTGCGTGTAGGTGGATGGGTGTGGGTGTTTTTGCGTGCGTGAGAGTATGTTTGCGTGTAGGTGGATGGGTGTGGGGAGTTTTTGCGTGCGTGTGAGTGTGTTTGTATGTAGGTGGTGGGTTTGGAGTGTTTTTACGTGCGTGTGAGTGTGTTTGTGTGTAGTGGGTGTGGGTGTTTTTGCGTGCTTGTGAATGTGTTTGTGTTAAGGTGGGTGGGTGGGGTGTTTTTGCGTGTGTGAGTGTTTGTGTGTAGGTGGGTGGTGTGGGTGTTTTTTGCGTGCGTGTGAGTGTGTTTGTGTGTAGGTGGATGGGTGTGGGGTGTTTTGCGTGCGTGTGAGTGTGTTTGTGTGTAGGTGGGTGGGTGTGGGGTGTTTTGCGTGCGTGTGAGTGTGTTTGTGTGTAGGTGGTGTGGTGTGGGTGTTTTGCGTGCGTGTGAGTGTGTTTTGTGTGTAGGTGGGTGGGTGTGGGGTGTTTTTGCGTGCGGTGAGAGTGTTTGTGTGTAGGTGGATGGGTGGGGTGTTTTTGCGTGCGTGTGAGTGTGTTTGTGTGTAGGTGGATGGGTGTGGGGTGTTTTTGCATGCGTGAGAGTGTGTTTGTGTAGGGTGGTGTGGGGTGTTTTTGCGTGCGTGAGTGTGTTTGTGTGTAGGTGGATGGGTGTGGGTGTTTTTGCGTGCGTGTGAGTGTGTTTGTGTGTAGGTGGATGGGTGTGGGGTGTTTTTGCGAGTGTGTTGTGGTGTAGTGTGTTTGTGTGTTTATTTTTGCGTGGTGAGTGTGTTTGTGTGGTGGATGGTGTGGGGTGTTTTTGCATGCGTGAGAGTGTGTTTACGTGTAGGTGGGTGGGTGTGTGGGGTGTTTTTGCGTGCGTTTGAGTGTTTGTGTGTAGGTGGATGGGTGTGGGGTGTTTTTGCGTGCGTGAGAGTGTGTTTACGTGTAGGTGGGTGGGTGTGGGGTGTTTTTGCGTGCGTTTGAGTGTGTTTGTGTGTAGGTGGATGGGTGTGGGGTGTTTTTGCGTGCGTGCG